CCCCCCACCTGTCTTCTCTTTGGTCCTTCATGCCACATTGTGTTTTTCAGCCTCTGACCTGACTGTGGGCAAAATCTATGCAGCAATGATGATCATGGACTACTACAAACAGAGTAAGGTGAAGAAGCAGAGGCAGCAGCTGGAGGAACAGGTGACGGTCACCGATAGCATGGTCGTGGGCAGGTCGTGAGGGACAGGCCTGTGCATCCCTGGGGTTCAGGGCCGGGGGGATTAGCAACCTAGTGGGTCAGAGGTTAAGAGAGTCAAACAAGGTCTCAGCCATGCTCCTATTTTACCCAAGTAAAGTGCATTTTCTCCCACAGTCATTTGAGTTCCTTTCTTCCATGGCAGAAAAACGCACCCATGTTCCAGCGCATGGAGCCCTCGTCTCTGCCGCAGGAGATCATCGCCAACGCCAAAGCTCTGCCTTACCTCCAGCAGGACCCCGTGCCAGGCCTGTGAGTAAAACCAGGGGGCCCAGGCTCTCCTGTTTGTGTCTGTCACTCAGGCCCGTGCGCAGGCCTAGAAACCCACTGCCCAGGAATGCCAAAGAAATGATCCCAACTCTCAGAGAAGCGCAGACCGGGCGTGTTTAGTACTGGGGCCAGCTTGAGAGGCAGTGAGCACTGGGGATGCACCAGGGAAGGAAGGGTATCTGTTAGTATCACTTTATAAATGAAGAAGCTGGAGACTGAGAGGTTAAGTAAGTGGCCCAAAGCTAGTAGAAAGCTGAACAGAAATGAAGTCATTTCTTTTTAACTCTAGAATCTTCCTACTACACTATATGTGAAATGAACAAAAGGAGGCTTAGATCAGGCAAAAAAATTCTTTATTTTCTGTATTGGCAGTGGACACAAAACTCAGTTAAGGAATCTGCCATTTCTTTTGAGTTGCAGGCCTTCTCCCCAATTTGGTCATGGACATCTTATGGGAACATTATCTTTCATCAAGCATGTACAGAGTACCAAAGGGCAGGAGGTCCCTCTACCCAGTGAAAATGAGCTTTTGTGATTGGGTTTACTCCAGTCCTGCTTTTCCAGGCGCCAATAATCACTACCACAGCCTCAGTAATTATCAGGGGAGTGAAACCCAGGCCTTGGAGTGAGACCTCTGTCAGAATGCCGTTTAGAATCTCACCCTGTTCATCTCCTTCTGCCTGTGGTGTTGGGGACCTATTTTTGAAAAGCATTTTCAGGGGTCACAATCCAACACATTGGGAAGAAAAGGCCCAGAGTCGTGACCAAGGCCATGGGTCTTTTAATAAACATTTGATGTGATGAGGTGGCAGGGTACCGATTCTCCTGTTAACAGAAAACAAGTCAATGTTTCTCTCTGATCTGTGCAGGAAGGAGGTAAGATTGCAGAGCAGGACCACCTCATTTGGAAGGATTTAGTGGTTTTCAAGGGTTCCTGGCTTAGAAACGGAGGACACCTTCTCCCCCAGTTCAATCTGTTTTATCCACAACAATTCAATATACAAATTACCTCCCATCAGAGGATCACACCAGCTTCTCTCCCGTGTTTACTGATTCATTTCCTCATTGATTTGATCAATATTTATGTGACCCAAAAGCTGGATTAGGCACTGGGGATGTGACAGTCAACAGAATCACAGTCCCTGTGGAGACAGACCTTGAAAAAGAAATTACGAGATAACAGTTAAAGTGTAGAAGGTAGGTTATTGTGGTGACCTGTAAGTAAAGGAAGCAGTGCGCCTAGTTTGAGAGAGGGGAGGCTTCCCTGAGAGGTAACACGTAGGTGAGAGAAGGTGTGTAAAATCCAGACTGTTAGGATGGGTGGAGCACAGTTCATGGAGGAGGCAGGTGTTGAGCTTGGAGAGCTACACAGGGGCCAGGACACAGAAGTTCTGTTTCATCCAAGGATAAGGGGTTTTATGCATCTGAGGGACATGATCCAATTTGTACTTTACAAAGATCATGTGTGGATCCAGGGGACTGGAGGAGCAGTTTGAGGGACAGGTACACCACTTAGTGAGTGACTGCAATTGTGTAAATTATTGATGACTGTGGCTTGGACCAATAGGATAGAAATGAGAAGAGAAGGTCAGACTTGAGAGGTAATGGAGACCCTGGTGATTGATGTGCTCTGTGGAGTGATGGAGAGGGAGGGGCCAAGGATGACCCTCAGGGTTCTGGTGGATGTTGGTACATTTCCTGAGATGGGGAGCAGCAGATCCTTTCTCAGGACCATCTGTGCTTCTCGAGTTTTATACTGTTCAAGTAGAGACTGCTCAGAGGATACAGCGGTGAGTATGACAGGCAGGGCTCCTCCCTCATTAAGCTTACATCTGGTAGAAAACCAGACATGAAACAGAATTATTAGAAAGAAAAATCGTATTTCAGTGATGAATCACAGTTCTGATAAGTGGTAGGAACAAATGCAGTATGAGCTGAGTGCATGTGAGAGGGAGATCTGACCAGTTAGGAGGGAGAGACAGAGAAGATTTCCTTAAGGTGACTTTTGATATGGATTCAAAATAACATGGGCAGGGTTTTCAGGGGCAGCCTGTATTCAAGTCTTGGAGTAGAAAGAAGCCTGCCATATTCAGTGAGCTAAGAGTCTAATATGTCGAATTCAGGGAGCAAGGGCTAAAGTAATGAAGGGGAGGTAAGGACCAGATCAGGGGGGAGGCCACACTCAGAATTCTGGCCTGGATCCTAACAACAAGCAGACAATGCTTTTGAAGTAGGAGGTCAAAGTATTCAATTCTGAGGTTGTTCAGTGATTCCAAGGGTCCTCTCTGTGGGTAATTACTCATTTTCTGTAGGACCAAAGGGGACCTATTTCTTATAATAGCAGTGCTCATCTTGTTCCCAGTGGTTCTCAGGAGAAGACGATGGACATTAAAGTAAGTCACTTAAATATCAGATGCTCTGTAGCAGTGAAAATTCTGCTATTCAACCCTTTTCCTGTGCTCCCAGTAAGTTAGTTGCACCTATAGAGTATTTTGAAGTAACTGGCAGCCCTTGCTCAAGACTCAGAGCCATTAGCAGTAGACTCACCTATGAGATGATGGTCTCCCGTCCCTCCTTCCTAGCTGCCCAGTCACTGACTGCTGTCCCTTCCCCTGATCAGGAAGTTCATCCTTAAACAGATCAGAGGGTACCTATTTACCAATGAATGGCAGCGGCCTCATTTTTAGGAAAGATTGGCTGACTCTCTCCCCTAACCTGCCCTGTGGATCCTACTGGCTAACAGTGTCTGTAGGGACCAAACAGCGGTTTGGTAACAGGCAGCTCTCTGTACTTTTCATTTCATTGGCTGACTGTCCCTGTTCTCTTTCGTCACCATTTAAGCATCCTCCTACAGAGCCATCAACCCAGGGGTGGTCGCCTCCTTACCGCCACCTCCAAGGTCATTCCACCCAGTTTATGATCCATCAGGCAGTGTCTGGCGCAGACACTTCAGTGAATGTTCATGGCATTGAATTATTTCGTTTGGCCGGGATGTTGGCACAATAGAGCCATCTTCTTACTGAGCGTGAAGGAAATTTTTTAAAAGACCATGACTGCTTAATATTTAAATAAAACTGTTCACTGTTTAAAGTACGGCATTTTTCTGCCAAATAGAGAGACTGAGCAGAAACCGGTTTACAGTCTAGCATTGGTCTTCCATATGGCTGAGTGTGACAAATGATGTCATTCGTCACAGATAGGTGAGTCACCAGCCGAGTGATGAGTGGTTCCAAGTACAGGTTGAAAACAATGCTGTCTCTTTTCCAGTGTTTGTTTGGTTTTTAAAAAGTTTCTATCCTAGGGCCAGCTACCTGTAAGTTACCAGGCTTGCAAGCCTGCCAAGACTAAGGGTGTTGCCCTCCCGGGCTGGGACTTGGAAGTGGCAGCGATGGCATGTCTGTTTCCCTCTCATGCACTCATTACCTTTGAACTTGGCATTGCTTTTTAGGAGTGGCCGGAGTGGATACCCTTCGATGAGTCCGCTCTCCCCCCAGGAAATATTCCAGCTGGCGTGCATGGACCCACCCGATGACGCACAGTACCAAGAGCAGCAGTCTCTGGTGAGTGAATGAGTTACAAGACTTCAGAATGGTTCCTTGGTTCCCTGATCCCTCCCCACTCTTTTTCAAATCTGATTTCATGGCCACGATCCACCAGGAAAACCAAGAACCCTGGCAGTTTCCTGCTGTCTCTCTTTTATGGCAGAGTTTCTCATGTTCTCTGACAAATGCTTCCTCTTTAGGTTTTACAATCCCAGGGGCCACTTATCTGCTGAAGGAATTTATATTGCTTCAGTCCAAGCCCTCTACATGTATGCCCTTGAGCATCATAAAATCTTGCCTTTGATAAGGAGCTTTAGGATGAGGGGCAGCTTGGGGGAACACAGGAAGCCCCCCGGGGATCCTGTCCAACAGTGGCAGCTGTCCACCCGCAGAGACGGAAGTCTCTTGCCTCTGTAGGTTCAGGAAAATTGGCCCTTTTGGCCACAATTCTACAGGGCCAAATACATTCTAAGGGGTCCTGAAAATCACTTTCCTGAGCCTACAGCTTTTCATTAGCATGAATGGTGAAATTACTGAGAAACCTATTGAGTCCAGTTTTAGCTTGAAGAAGAGAGGACAGATTAGCTTTGATAGTAGCAAAACCTAAAGCTTAAGCTGTGATTCCCAAAGATAACAGGCTTTCCTTACCATTGTTCTTACTTCAGGAGCTATCTATCAGGTTCCCTCCGGAGCTGAGTGTTCATTGGCCTAGAAAGAAAAAGACAAAACCCAACATTTGCAGAAGTCCAGACAGACAGCTTGTACTGAGTTCCATGTCACTTTGATTATGATTCATCTGTTTTTCTCTCCCCTTCATTTCTCTCCTGACCCCTCCCCCCTGCTACTCTGAACCCCAGAGCCACTCTGAAGGGATGGTGTGGATGAAGAGTGGCCTGCATGTCTGATGGATGGGTACCTGTCAGAGGGGGCAAAACACTTCAGTAGCTCAGACAAATGGGTGACTCTTCTTCTGTGATTAGTGAGTCAAGGGATTGTACATGGTTGGGTTGGCGAGACAGCCAGACCACGCCGTGGGTTCCCAGCATGAGTGCCGGAGGGAATTCTTAGTGAAGTGGGTAGGAACCCTGGGGGGAATTCTCTGAGGAACTTAGCACCGAGGCCCAGGGACTAATTGGTATAGATAGCTTGATTCTTAAAAGCGCCTCTCAGCATCTTAAGGCTTCCCCGGTGATGTGTCTGGTGGGAAAAATCTCACTAACGTGTCCTTTCTTTCACAGGGAGATTTCTTTCTCACATCATTCCTGCGGGTTGCCCAGGGCTGAGCCGCAGTGCCAGGGCTTTTTGGATATGTGTCCATCTCATTGTCGGTACTGGTGTCTGTGATTCAGGTGTCAGCCTGTGCTCCACACTCACCACTGTGTACTCCTGCCCATCCCTTGGGGCCCCTGCTCTCCATCCTGAGGCGTGGCCATGACGTATGTGTGTGTGTGTCTTGCACCACCTCTGACACCCGTAGACACCAGTGTTGTTACCACATGTGTTTCGAGTCAGACTTGTGTACTATATACAGTGTATCCTGCAAACACTAACTTCTTCAAGTGCACGCATCACAGGTCGAGGTGTCCTCCCACTGACACCAGAAACCACTCAGCCAAATGGTCACGGAGGCGGACTTTCAGCCACGCCCTACTCATACACCTGTTTTTAGACTGTCATTTCCTAACATATAAAATAGCTTTTTTTCTGGTATAATCTCCCATGTCTAAGATATTCCTAGGTCTCTGTTTGGTGACCCATGTAAAATTTCTAAGGCACTCTTTATGGAGTGCCTCTAGCTATCACTTTAGAGCATGTACATTTGCCAAACTGACATTCTTTGCCCAGGAAAAGAGAGATATTCATTCCAACCACCTAACTCTCTAGCGTGGCACAGTTCAGTGCAATGGCCACTGCCCCCATGTGGTGATTGAGGGCCTGAAATGTGGCTCGTCCAAATTGAGATGTACTCCAAGTGGAAAATAGATACCAATGTCAAATGTCTCAACTTTTTTATATTGATTACATGTTGGCATGAGAATATTTGGATATATTGGGTTATATAAGTATATTAATTTTCATTTTTTTAAATGTAGTTACTAGGAAATTTAAAATTACATAAGTGGTTTGCATTATATTTCTATTGTACTGTACCAGTCTAGATCATCCCTGGCAGATGGCTACCCACTGCGTTTTGGGGGGATGGTTCCAATAATAAGAAAACTCTTTGCTAATACGATCGTGTATTTTAAGGTTTGAGAAAATACGTTTGACATCGGATATTTCTGACTTTCCTTAGAATACTGGCTTCCATGTAAGTGATAAATGGCTTCTTTGGGTTAAGAAAATGCACCTCCACTACCAACTCTCAAAGTAAACTTCACCTTCTAAAAAGCATCATGACCAATAATGTTTGTTTACAAAGCTATAAAATCTAAGGCATTGCTGAGTGATAAAATAAGGTGATCTTTACCTCTCAATCTCAGAGCTTTCTGTTTAGGACATCTGGTATACCAGATATCTGTACATATAGACACACACACACACACACACACACCAGACCTTAAAGATGCAGGTCTCTCTCCTAAACACCACTCTTAGTATGGAGGAGGTAGAATCATCCACTGGAGATGAGAAGCAATGAGATGGAACCAAGTCCCACAAGCTTGGCTGTGTTTATTTCTAGGAGCCAGAGTTTAGTGAATTAAAAAGCGTGCAGCTCTCTAACCATGGCATCTACCTTCCTCCGGACACCCAGGAGCATGCGGGATCTGGGAGGGCATCCTCTATGCCACGCCTGACTGTGGATCCCCAGGTAAAAAGCAACCACCTACCATATGCAGTGGCATCCTGGGCTGTATTGAATTGGTGGGTTATGGAAAAACATCTGATATTTTCAGGTGAGCCCTTGACTTGCCCTCACCCCTTCCCTGAGCAGAAACTGGCTCATGGGCCTTCTCTCTAGAGCCTGCTCCTCCTGTATGTGCTTTCAGTGGAGCCTTAAGCACAACAGCCTGGATGGCATAATTTCCTCCAGATGGGCTCAACCTCCTCAAGACTCAACCAGCCATGCAAGAAATATTTCCCAGGATTTCCCCTTCCTTTCCTGGCTCCTCGAGCACGTAGGCAGTTACTTAAACACACACAGCTCGGTGTCGGGATTGTCTGTCCTAACCAGTGCAGGCCACGCCTCATTTCTTTGTCTGTTTTCCTGGCTTCTTTTTTCTGTCTGTCTGTCTTACATTAAGCTTTGACAGAGACAAGAAGTTTACATGGATCTGTTTTTAACATCTGTAGCAAATCAAAACACCCAAGTTTAAGGTGGGGCTGGGGTGGGACAGATGCTGGAGAGCAAAACGTTCTTAGTAGCTGCTCCATTACAAGGTCTCCTAAGCACTGGGGCTGTAGGACAGGCCTTCCCTGGTGAAGGCAACAGACACAGCCATGCTTCTTTCATGGCGTAGACATTTTGACAATTGCCCTTACATATTTCAAAGTGGCTCAAGGTTCACTGAAGGTCCTGGCTGAGTCCCTGCGATAGGTGGCTCTGTGGGAAGCTTGAACAGTGCACTCAGCTTCTTGCATTCCTGACCATAAAGAGAAGATCCTGGACCAGGCCCAGCGATACAAAGATGTAACATAAAGACACTTTCTGCAATAGCCTCCTCCAGCTAAGGTCTGAGCAAGAGGGATTCAAGGGTGGTTATGGTTTGCAGTCTTCAACAATCTCAGTCCCACTCCTTTCTATTAGGCCCGTTCTGTAATTAATCCATACCTTGTGTTCCTTGGGGGCTCATATTTCCAGGTGGTAACAGACCCGAGCTCCATGAGACGTTCATTTTCCACGATTCGGGATAAGCGTTCCAATTCCTCGTGGTTGGAGGAATTCTCCATGGAGCGAAGCAGTGAGAACACCTACAAGTCCCGTCGCCGGAGTTACCACTCCTCCCTGCGGCTGTCAGCCCACCGCCTGAACTCAGACTCAGGTAAGGAGGTCTTTTTCCTGTTTGCCTTTCGGGTTCCTGCCCTGATGGGGGTATTCTGGCAAGGACTGAACACCTCTGGAAGAGACTGAAGGAAGAGTGCTCCTTACCAAAGGGGTTCCCATGTCTGACTCACACCCTGAAACATGCCTAGGAGACTCCTTCCTTCTTGAGTCAGGCTATAGATATCACTAGAATCGAGATTCTCAGATGGCCTGCAGAACCCTCAGGCTTCCTTGGGATTGTATTGAGACCCCAGGTAGGGGCTGGGCTTTTACCACCAACTCCACTTCAACCCAGATAGTGCTATCTGGAATGGTTTTGCATATTGGAGCTTTATTTCTTCATCTAGCAAAATAAGAAAGATTAAAACAGTGACTTCCCCGTATCATAGGACCAGTAAGTGCCAGACTTGAGACTAGAACTGAAATCCGTGGACTTCAGTCCCACGGTTCTCAATGGCACAGCTGATATGATGCCAGCGTATTTAGTTCATAGCAACTTCTTAATTTCCTTCTACTGATACCATCTTCACCCCCCTAAAGTTACACACCCATGTTCAGGACGTGAATTCCTGGGCCATACTGTTGGCAAAGATTCTAAACTGTGTCTCAGCCCAAACAGAAGAGAACTGATTACACCCTTTGATGTGCATGTGTTCCAGCGGCAACTTGCACTCTCACCTCACCACCCAAGAGTAATTCTCTTCTGTCTCCCTTTCGGACCTCCTGTTGATGTGCCTGGAGAAGCCAGGATCTTTGGGGCCCAGGCTCCAGGAGTTCTCTTTCTTTCCAGTGGCCAGTATGAGCTGAATTGTGATCAGTTGCTTATGTCATCTCTCCTAGGCCACAAGTCCGACACCCACCGCTCGGGGGGCAGAGAGCGGGGACGATCGAAAGAACGAAAGCATCTTCTCTCCCCCGACGTCTCCCGCTGCAACTCAGAGGAGCGAGGGACCCAGGCTGACTGGGAGTCCCCAGAGCGTCGTCAGTCCAGGTCTCCCAGCGAGGGCAGGTCACAGACGCCCAACAGACAGGTGAGCCTGGAGAGGCAGCCAAGCCTCTGCCCAAAGACAGGGGTGGCCATTAGCATTGGGTGCAAAAGGGCAGCACCCAGCACCCACACAGAGCTTAGTTACTTAACGCTGTGTTCTCTGATAGGGGAAGCGGCAGCTAGGACTTTGAGACTGAGGCAGTGGAGTTGATTTCTAGAGCAGTGGTTTTCAGGTTTTTCATGCAGAACAGAATCACCTATGGCTCATTAAAACTGCATATGCCTGGCACCTGGAAGATGCTGTTTCAGTAGTGAGGCCCTCCAGAAAGTGACACCCAGAGTTCTGCATTTGGAAGGACCCTTCCCCAGGAGATTTGGAGCAGGTGGCTCCTAGGTCATACCCACCTGGGCTCAGGGACCCTTGGGCATGGCTGAGCAGGTCAGGTAAGGCCTGAACCAGCAGATGAGGGTGTGGGCATAGAAGCTGATTCAACCTCAGCCAGCCACTGAAGACACAGAGGCAACAAGTGAAGACAGGGAAAAATGCCAACCCCTTTCCAGACAGCAACTCCCGAGCTTCCTGCCCTTTCCCAACACTTTCAAGCCCTTCTTTCAATGGGCCACTTGTTACACACAGGGTGGGGCAAAAGTAGGCTTACAGTTGTTCCTATGGAAAATTAAACTTTCACTTGCTCACAACTGTAAACCTGCTTTTGCCCCCCATGTTTATAGAGCTTCCAGATCCTTGCTGCTCAGTGTTTGGGCCATGAACGAGCAGCACCTGGGAACCTGTTAGACACGCACAATCTCAGGCCTGCCTCCCCCCGATCTTCTGAGCCTGTATCTGTAGTTTAACAACACTCCCAGAAAATCATACCCATATTAAAGGTTGACATGCCCCAGTCTAAATGGTATTGACTTCTCAGTCTCCTATAATCCCTGCAACTTGGAGGAGAGGGGACTCCAGCTTGGACCCTTGCTCCAGAATTCAGACTTCCAGGGCTTGCTGTGGGATGGTGAGGGAACTTAGCAGGGTCCCACAGATCATGCCAAGCCCAGTCTTACATGCCACATCTCTCCTATTGTACAGGGCACCGGTTCCTTGAGTGAAAGCTCCATCCCCTCCATCTCTGACACCAGCACCCCAAGACGAAGTCGTCGGCAGCTCCCACCTGTCCCTCCAAAGCCTCGGCCCCTCCTTTCCTACAGCTCCCTGATTCGACACACAGGAAGCATCTCTCCCCCGGCGGATGGAAGTGAGGGCGGCTCCCCACTGGCCTCCCAAGCTCTGGAGAGCAACGACTCGGAGGCCGGCCTGCCTGACTCTGCCAGGGCCCGGCCCGCACAGCACGGCCACCCCTCCCCACAGCGCTACATCTCTGAGCCCTACCTGGCCCTGCACGAAGACGCCCATGCCTCAGACTGTGGCGAGGAGGAGACGCTCACCTTCGAAGCGGCCGTGGCCACCAGCCTGGGCCGTGCCAACACCATCGGCTCAGCCCCGCCCCTGCGACACAGCTGGCAGATGCCCAATGGGCACTACCGACGGCGGAGGCGCGGAGGGCCGGGGCCAGGCATGATGTGCGGAGCTGTCAGCGACCTCCTGAGTGACACGGAAGAAGACGACAAATGCTAGAGGCTGCTCCCCCCTCCGATGCATGCTCTTCTCTCACACGGAGAAAACCAAGACCGAATTGGGAAGCCAGTGGGGCCCGGGGGGGAGGAAGAGGGAAGGACAGTGTGCTTATCAGGAAAGGAGAGGGCGAGAGGCAAACCAGTTGAACCCACCAAATTGCTTTACTTCCCTTTGCAAGATGGGCACTGCCATAGTTCTGCCTCTTTGCTGGGGAAAGAAGATACAAGAACATGGAGGGTTATGCCCATGGAGGGGACACCAGGATTGCTTTGCTTCCACTGCCCCTTCCCACGTTTCTAACAGCCGTGGAGGAAGTGCGCTGGCCCGTGTCGACGCCCATTGCCCTGTGAGGCCTGGAAGCCTCCCTGGCTCTTAACTGGGGGGCTGTGGAGACCCTAGGAGGAGAGTCTCCTCCCTCTCTCACCAGCTCCCCAGCTAGCACCATGGCCACCAGGGCCTCTGCATCTCCTGCTGCACCCTGGGGCTTGCTTCCCCAGAGAAGCACAGACTAAGTTCAGGAGCGTCGGGTGCCAGGGTAGGGGCAGGAAGGGAGGCAACGCTGACGTGGAGGGTCAGGGTGCTGTGGCGGCAGCAGCCAGGGCTGGTCTGGACGAGCAAAGCCATAGCCCAGCAGCCCACACCTGGAGGAGAGGGTCGGAAGCAGAGAGCCGGCGGTGCTGGTGGGGGCAGGCCTGTCACCCCTGCAGTAGGTGCTTTGAGTGTTGAGATAGGCTAAGGAGGTCCCCCAGGGTGCACAGATGTGCCTGAGGCTCTGGTAAAGGTGATATTTTAAAAGTATTTACAATCCACATGGCCAGGGCACCAGCTGATGAGAGTGGGGTCTGACCTTAGTGCTGGTCTCGGGGGAGTGCTGAGGGCAGGGTCTGTTTTCAGCCCAGAATAGAAGTAATTCAGAGTGGGGGGGACAGTGCTGCGGCAGGACCAGCACAGCCTGACTGGAGGCAGCGGGCCTCTGCCCAGAGTGAGGCCAAGCACCAGGGGCCCAGCCTTCCCTGCCACTCCCCTGAGGGGACAACACCCTTAGTAGGAACTATGATAGAGGTAGGAAAGGCTGACACACTGAACCAGAAGTGTCAGTAAGAGTCAGAGTTTACCGGGGACCTCCTGCCTGAAGCTCTGCAGCTGGTGTCAGGAAACTGCAGGGTGGTGAGTAAAAATACCTCAGCTTAGCCCTGGGCTGGAACTTCTAGCAAAGCAGGCTCTGTGGGGCCCTATTTCGCTGGGCCAGGACTGTGCTTTATCCCCTCCCAGAGTAAGAGCTGAGCAGAAGACAGCCTCAGGCTATCCTTCCTAACCCCCAAAACTCAGAAACATTGAGAAAGAGCGAGCCCTTACTTGGCAAATCAACACATCCCTGTCTTTATCTGGTGGAAATGCACTGTCCCCGTAGTCCCTCCCCAGTCCCCCAGCACCATTACAGTAGGTGGAAGGACCCTCCTTTCTCAACCCCTCCGTAGGAAGAGCGGAGGCCCCTGGACTAAGATCCCAGTGGGTGAACACATCTTCCTCCAGCCCAGACTCCACCCCTTGGGCAGGAGCAGTTGGTGACTGTTATTTTTCTTAGAAAGAGCCTCTGTTTTTCCTTTTTTTGTTGTTGAAATAGAAATAAGGCATTGCCACATCAGCTCTGAGAGCCAAATTCAACCCCGTGGCTGCAGATTCATTTATCATGGCCCTGCCTTCTCGCCTAGATATTAATGGAGCCTCAGGACCCATGGTCTGCCCCCAAACCAAAGCAGTCCCAGGGCAGGAGAGCAATGAGGCAGAGAGAAAGGCCTTCCCATCTCAGACCCTCTCCCACCTGGCCTGTGAGCTCAGGAGCAGTTGGGGATGTGAACAGGACTATACAGCGCCCTGATCCTACAGGCATGATTGTTACATAAGACTCTGACACCGGGCCTTGTATTGTTTGAAAGGTTTCCTCTGCTCTGCGTCATTTCATGCCAACGTGTTGCTAGGGGCAGCTTTGCGTTCACAAAATTGCTTTCTTCCACCTTGGAAATGCAGCTTTCCCTTGGGCCAGGCCTGCAACAGGACAACCATTCTGAGCCCACGAGTCTATTGCATTGTTTGGAGAAAGGGAATTGAAGTGATACCTTGAGCCATTTCAGGAGTAGGGGAAATCTGGGCGGGCAGGGCAATTACTGGAAATGGAATCTGCCTGCAAACAGTACAAACACTAAATTTACTGGGCCAGGAAGCCTTCCTGGCCACCCAAACACCTGAAACTCACACATGCATTTGAATTCTGAACAAAGCGGTAGAAAGCCCTGCAGATACAATCCCCTGACCAACCACCTGGGTTTTTCTAGTTCCAATGAACTTATGAAGTCTTCTATCCAACTTCCCCTGACCAAGAAATCAGGTTTCTTATCCCTTAGCCTGCATTTACCCTTCTTTCAATACCAGAAAATAAAAGAATTTCCCTTAAGTCACAGAACT